AATTCCCTAGGGAGGAACCCAGAAGCACCAACGTTTCTCAGCCTCTGCTCTTTGGCCTCTCCATTTGGGGGTGGGAGCAGGGGAGCCAGGCACTGAAATAACAGGGATCCAGCTCACAGTGGCCTTCTGGGCACAGGTGGCTCTGTGCCCCTTAGGACAGTTCCAACATGCCCTATCATCTTTTAAAGGGCAATGAAGCCACCAGGAGCAAAGACTCAGCGCAACCAGCTGAGTTCCACTGAAGCTGCTGGAGGGAGCGGTACCTTAGGCACAGCTTGTGGATGTCTTGAGCCAGCTGAGAAATCAGGCACTGTCTTCCTGCTTAGGCCCATCCCCAGAGGCAGGTGGGGTAGGGGTGGGGGCCAGAGGCAGAGGACCTACAGGCCAACACTCCAGCCACACCAAGCCATGGCACTCCACGGCAGCTGGAAGGTGTCTTGTCTGTCATGCTAAGGAAGGCTTGGCGGCAGCGTTTCTACTGTTTTAAGCAATGTGGCACGATTTTCTGGGATGGCTCCCACATGGGCCACATCATCACATACTTCCATGAGGTCCTGGAGAGTGCCCCTAACCTCTGTGGGCCAAACCAAGCCCTTGGTGTAACCAGTAGTCCTGTTTGAAGGCAAAGCAGCCAGAAACAGCCAAACAATAAACCTGAAAAACATTTTAACCTATGTGATTCAGGCTGAATGCTTAATCTATCCCCTATGTCTACTTTTCCTAAGCCTTTCCACATGCCTTCAAGCTGCCAGAGACACCAAAGATAAATGGGTTTCTAAATGGCCCTGGATCCACTTTTGTCACCCAGGGTCAGACAAAAGTGGCTCTCAAGGGGGAGATAAGGGAAGCCACCATAACCTAGTTCGAGGCTGGAAACACCTGGCTACCTGTTAATGCTGTAGGACTCTCACCGATACCATGGGCCTCTCCCTAGTTGCCTGAAAGTAGATGCTGCTGCCTCTGCTCTGAGCTGAGGCCCCTACAACACCCAGTGGGTCTGAGGATGCTGATGTCAGGGATCCCAGTGGTAGGAAAAGCTAATGGGAACTGAAGGAAACAGAGGGAGGGAACCAAAAGAAAACCCAAAGGGGAGGTTCCTGTGTGCAGTCAGCCTGCAACCAACATACTTGGTTTATAGTAGCCTGCCTCCTCCTTGCTCACTCCCCAGGAATGTGCCACCTCCACCCCTTGCTCACATCCCTTTCCTTTGCTTCCTGCCTCAAGCGGAAAGGAGCTCAGATTTGGCTGAAGAATCTAGCAGATGCCTTCAGGCAACAAGGTTTGAGTGTTATGTCTGCCTAGTGTAGGGAATACTACAGACCCACGTGTGTGGTATTAGGCCCATGTCTGCCCACTACTGTTGGAATAGTCCACCTGGGGCCTCCCTCGAGGCCACTTTCCCAAACATACCTGAGATCTGCATCTCTGCCCATTTAGCCCCCAGCAACCAGGTAACCTAGCTGACATTTCATAAATGGGAGAATTGGGCTCAGAGATGAGCAGAGACTGTCTTAACTCCCAGTGTCCCTCTGAGCCACCTCCAATCCAGACCTTTCACTCAACCTGCTGGGCAGCTTTGGAGCTTGAGCTAAGCATCAGATAGTGTCAAGAGAATCAGAGTTGGAGTGCTATTTACCTCTGGAGGTGAGACCCCCTAGCTCTATGTCCTGACCTGGAATAAGTTCCTGACCATATTCTTCCCCACTCCAGGAGTACAAGAAAGCATCGATTCCTTGATCGATTCATAGCCCAGCTGCATCCTAGGCAGCTGCAGGACCAAAGGTGATATGGGAGAAGACTGGACTGTGCCATCCACCTTGCTCAGGTCAGGCCAGGTTCTGCCCATAGACCCATCCTCAGCACAGCCATGCCTACTGCCCCATGAGTTTCCCTTGCCCTTGCCTCCTCTTTTGCTACCCAGCACAGAGCTTACTCGCTGTGGAGCACTTCCACCTTAGCCATTTCAAGGGTTTGAAGGCTGTTTGTCCCATGCAGGCTCAGGCATTGGAAGCAAGCCTCAAACATAGGAGACTGGTTGCAATGTGCCTTCCTCAGCTGCAGAGACAGGTTGCCTCGAGGACTGAGGATGGTCACAGTGCTAACAGAGCAGTTATGGTGTCCAGTGCTGGCTTGCCATGCTTCGTGGCATGGGCAGGAGCCCTGGTCACAGTGATTGTCTGCCACAGTTCCTGCCTGCCTCTTTCCTCTGCTCTGCCGGCTGGCTGGAGCTCAGTGTTTGTTATTTGATTCCTATCCTCTCTTCCACCAGGTGTCTGGGCTGCTGGGAAGAAACACTCTCCTCTTTCCCACGCTCCCCAACACATTTTAATGAATTAGCTGGAAGCCCCGCCCCCCCACTGCCCACTGGCCTCCCTCCCCTGCTCAGCGCCTTTAAGGTGGCTGCAGGCCTGGCTCAGCTTTGGCCAACTGCCCTGTCTGTGCTGTCCTCCTATGGCCTCTCAGATTGCCTGAACTACCCCATCCAGATTTCCCCAACAGGGGTTCCAGAATGCCATATATGCTACCCCTTCACACCACTGCTTTTACAGCTGCTGGCTGCTAAACACCCACCTAAGGAAGAGCAGGAGAAGGGCATCTGGAGGCAGAAGGGTGCCTTGCCCACTGTTTCTTTCTAGGAGTGAGCAAATGGTGGTCAGAATGCTCCTGGGCCAGCATTCTTAGGATCAGGTAGGGAATAAAGGTCAGGGTCCAGTATCACAGCCAGAGTGGGGTCTCCTTAGATCGCAAGCAAACATCACAAACTCCAGAGCTTAATACTTGATTCCCTGAGACTTCCTGGGAGTCCCTCCTTCTCTTCAACAGCATGAAATAATGTCCACATTTTTGGAAGTGTCCTCCAGCAAACACTGAGGCAGTGCTTACTAGAAACCAAGTGCCCCACAGCCTTTCCCAAGCCCACCCTCATATGAGACAGTTACAGAAAGACATGGGTATGGGCCAGACACAGCCATGGTGAAGGAGCATGGGCTAGCAGGGGATCCTGTAGCTATCACCTAAGTCCCTCAGGAAGCTAGTCATCCGGCTGCACAGTGGTGGCAGACTAAGCTTGCCCTTTGAGCCTGATACCAGGCAGAGTGTCCTCAGGATAGTCTTTTACCACAATAGGACTGCCACACCAGCCACACTATTCTGCAAGAACTAGCTGAGCCTTCCAACTCTCACCAGGGCTGCTGCTGATTTCACAGCCCCTGTGGTGGCGGCCTTGCGTTCCCACACTGAGCTCACACAGGGCCCCTTTGTCTGCCGCCCGCTGCGGATGTCAACAGGACTTTTCTCCCAGGCTCTGCACTGGGCAAACATCTCAGATGCCCTTCCTCAGGCCAGGCTGGAGCCCACCTAGGTAGGGGCCCATCTGGGGACCCATCACCTTCAAGGGACAGCCCTGGGCTTGGTTAGAGTAAGGTCTCTGGTCACCCTAAGGTGTGGTCTCTGTCTCCTGCCTGTCTAATGCCTCCAAGCCCTTATGCAGATGCATGAAATCCCAGGCCAACTAGGAAGCAGATCCTGTTCTCCCGATTATGTTCCCAGAACTTCCTCTTCTCCACGCCCACCTTGTTCTGGGTTATTATTCTGTGACACCAAGATACCAGTCAGTATCCCTAACTAAGCCTCAATCTACCTGCACAGTGGACAGAACCAGAGAGTTCCTCCCAAGATCTTAGAACAGTGAGGCATAAAGTGGGGATAAGGACAGAATCCAAAACACCATGGATCTCAGGAAGACCAGAGAGGTCTCCAAACTGCACCCTACAGATTCAGGTTCCCAGGCTACCAGAAGGGAAGTGTGGTTTTTAAACAAGTCGGCCAGGGTCAGGCCTGAAGGCAACTGGCCAAAGATGGTCAGCCCCAGGGAACATTTGCCTACTTTCTCCATTCAGCTTAACTATAGTTCCTCCCAGAGCACAAAGCAGGGTTGGGGGCATGCCCTGGTGAATATGACATAGTTCTGAGACTGGAGTGGGCACATCCAGCAAAAGGAGCTTCGCCAGACAGAGCCTGGCAGGGTGGTCTCCCCAGCTGAGGCCTACAGTGGCCTGTTTGGAATTCCCAGCCAGCTTCAGAAGAAATCAAGCCCTGGCGTGCCCTGCCTCCTGCTCTGTCAAGTCTTAAGATCATTCCTCCTTAATTTTCAGCAACCACAGCGAAGCTGTAAGCCGTAAAACATAATGAGGAAATGTGGAGCCTTGCCTCCCCAGCCAGCGCCAACACCTCCTGCCTTCTGGTCAGTTGTTAAGAGTGGTCAATAAAATATGAGGCTTACGGTTTGGAAATGAGTCATTTCAGAACTCCCTTAGGGGGCAGTGCTGTGCATCTCACTAGCCAGGCCTATGTGCCCTTGCACATTCCCTACAGGGCTGAGCAGAGGAAGCATACATCTGGAGGAGTGGTGACAGACTACCTCGGAACAGAGAGAGAGAGAGAGAGAGAGAGAGAGATATTAAGACTGTCCCCATCCCAGCCTTCTGGAGAGGAGAATGGAACCCCTACACTGGGGTGAGTTGGGGTCATGAATGACTTTCATCCGTGTGGAGGAGCCAAACATAAGAGCTGCTCAAGCGTCCTGGGCAAGTTAACACTTGAGTAGGAAGGGCCAGTGCGGTGGAGGGCTACACAACCGCAACAGAGCAGTTCGTAGACCCATGAACGCCAGGTCCAGGCCTGGGAATGTCTGCTCCAGGATCTCGAAAATCCCGAGATCTATGAAGAAAGAAGAAAACTGCGGGAGGAGGTTATACACCCAAGGGCAAGCGAGCCCAGGATGTGGCGCTGGAAAATCTGTGGTCTCTTGACCAACCCCGGTGCTAGCCGAGACGAGCGCCCTCTACCGTTGTAGGACGCAGCCACACAACCCCGCCTCCGCCCCGCCCCCACGTGGGCACGGCCCAATCGAAAGTGCCCTATTGTGCACGTCAAGAGCGCCTATTGTTATGCAAATATAAGAACCGTAAAAGTCAACGGGAAGCGGCGGGCGAATTAGAACTGCTTTGCAAAGGGCCCCCGTGGTTCAGCGAGAGCGCAGAGTAACCTTGAAGGGACCACGACTGCACGCGTCCCCGGCTGCTCCAGGCCCTGCGAACCAGCACCCAGCCCTGTTGCCCGCCCGCCTGGGCGCGGCTGGATGCAGCAGGGGTCCCGCGCCCGCGGCCCTCGGCCTCGAGCGCCCGGAGAGCACAGGAGCGGTGTGCGGGGCCCGGGAGCGCAGCGCCCTCCATGCGCCGAGGCGTGCCTCGAGACACGCCCCGATACAGCCCGGGGCCCGCATTGCAGCCGCCGCCCGCGCTGAGCCGGGGCGCGGCCCGCGGCCCTAGCTCTGCGGCAGTATGAGCCAAGCCGAGCTGTCCACCTGCTCGGCGCCGCAGACCCAGCGCATCTTTCAGGAAGCGGTGCGCAAGGGCAACACGCAGGAGCTGCAGTCATTGCTGCAGAACATGACTAACTGTGAGTTCAACGTGAACTCGTTCGGGCCGGAGGGCCAGACAGCACTACATCAGTCAGTCATCGACGGCAACCTGGAGCTGGTGAAGCTGCTGGTCAAGTTCGGCGCCGACATCCGCCTAGCCAACCGCGACGGCTGGAGCGCGCTGCACATCGCCGCTTTCGGAGGCCACCAGGACATCGTTCTCTATCTCATCACCAAGGCCAAGTACGCGGCCAGCGGCCGGTGATACCCACCCGACCCCGGACCCTGGCCCTCACCCGCGTCGTCTCTGCTGTACGTTCCCGCCAACTACCTCGGTGTGTGCCAGGTTTGCTGGCCCGCGTGGAAATCGGGCTAGGTCTCCACGTCCGCGGCCACGACCAAAGCGGCGCGTCCGTGGCCCCCAGGGTTCCACTCTCCACAAGAGAGCGCCTCCCCTAGGCAGTCCTCGAAGCCCTGTAGGGCCCCTTCGTCTTCCCACGGCCCCCAACCGCCTCGAGGGTAGGGGCGGGGCGCAGGCTCTAGCCCATTTTGAAATTTGAGTCTCACACTGGGAGACTTCGGAATCCCGAGATACCGGATCCTCCGCTTGAAATGTTTTCTGCGGAAGGTGAAAGGCGCGGGCGGACTCGCGCTCCCGCCGCCGCCCCTGAGACCCGCCCGCCCACAGTGCAGCTCCAGCCGCTGGCGATGGCAGAGCAGCCACTACCCGGCTTCACCATCTGCGCGCCGTCGTGCGAGGAAGGGGACGCTCCGGGTCCCTGATGGCCTAAACTATTTATCACGTGTGTGTATATATGTGGGTGAAGTTTGTGCGCCTGAGTTTTTTGTTTGGAAATATTGTGCGTGGTTATGGGAGAAAGATGATTTTTTTTTTTTTCCTTAAAACTAAAAACTTGAGTCTACCATTTCTTGGTTGCACTGAAAATACCGCCTACCCCTATGGTTTTCTCTTTGCTAGCCCCTCCTCCATCAAATCCCTGATTTTCCACACCGTACTCGGTTCCCCTCCCTGGATTCTGAGTTTAGGGAGCCCAGGATCTGTCTCCCTTCCCCCTCCGTGAGAGGCCACCATTCCCCACACCGGCTGGTTTAGCAAAGTTCCAGTGGGACCTAAAGCCCTAGTGGCTGGGACGTGGGGATTTTGAGAGCATGTACCCTTCCTAGTGACTTCTAATGTTAGTAGTCGGTTGCACACTTTTTTAAAAAAGTAAATGAATTTGCCACGATTAAATGTCATAACATTTATGACAATATAAAATATTAACATATTTTAAGCCAAGTTTTAGGTGTATTTTTTGAATCTTGGTTATAAACCCAATTTTAAAGGGCATTGTATCCAGCGTTGTGAAGGCTGTTGTGTACCCATATTTATATTTTTATAAAATCCCTATAAAGACTGTGAATCTCTCATACTATTTCAGAATGAGTGGAAGGGCTGCTGTGCCCTTTCTGGCACCCCATCCCCCACCCCTAAACTCCAGGACCCCATTATAATCTGAGGCTCTGGCCCTGAGGGAGGGGCTGTGCCAAGGACTGGGGCTGGAGGAGGTGCTGGAGCATCACTTGCTGTCCCTGAAAGGAGACTTCCTGGTTTCTGTGGTTCCAATTTTCTATGCAACCCCACACCCCTTGTTGTTTTGATCCTGGGAAATAAAAGGGAGGCTGAATTCAAATTTAAATGAGGTTTCCCCTTGTAAAAGTGCTGCTGACCCTGCGTGCAAAAATGGGGAGCACTTGAGGACACAGGTGGGTGGAGGCCTTTTGTGCCGTCTGGTCATATTCTTCTGCAGCTTTTATGAACCAGTGTGGGAAGAATAGTGATGATGTCGTGAAACTGGCAGACATTGAGACAAGCACAGATTACTTCAAAAGGAGTTCTGTATGTTTTTTCTACATGCAAATGCCTTTTTAATTATGTTAATTAATGTTAAGACTTCCTAGGCCTGTGTTGAAGCTTCAAATAGGTCCTGGTTTAGTCTCTTCTGTCTGTATGAAGTCTGTGGCACACTCCTGAGCGTACGATACAGACTTGTAGCCCAACGTGAAAAATTTACAAATAAATTTTTCATTGGTCTTTTTATATTAAAAAATGGTTTTAGTTTTGGCACAAGTCATGGATACCATCTATGGGGATGAGGATTAGGCCACAGCATGCTATCTTCAACTAATGGATGATGGCTGCTTGGCTTGGTGGATCTAAAGACAGAGTTGGGGAAAATGAGCCTAGAGCTCAGTAAAAAGTCCAAGTCAACCCAGATGTCAGCCTGTGCCTGATGCTAGGAGCTCTGGCCACCCTGTGAGCTGGAACTGGTGTCAGCTATTTCCTGGTATTGACAAAGTGGCTGAGCCCTCCCCAGGGAAACAGTCTGTAGCTCTTAATGCGTCCCACCCAGCCTGAGAGTTGAAATACTGGTAGAACTTCTGCACAGATGATTTCTCTTTAGAGTTGGGGGAACATTCCAATTGCTCCTAGGCAAGCAAAACACCTCTGGAGATTTTGGCTTCCAGAGTCCAGGGCTAGCCACTCACCAGAAGACAGATCTGAGTAAGGTCCAGGGTTCCCATGCATGTGATTTGAGAAAGTGCATTAGAGGTACATGGAGAGGCACTCTTGGGATCCTGAGTGGGATGGAGGGTAGGAAGCCTGCCAGAACAGCAGCAGCCATCAGGGAGCTCTGTTAAGGAGCCTTGCCATAAGTGACTGTTCTGGTACAAACTCCAGGCAACCATCAATCCCTCCCTACACTTCTCAGGTTCCTACTCTTGTCTTTATATTTTCTCCCCAGCAGCAGTAAGGTTATTAAACTTCCCAAGAGCAGACAGTGATGCTGATACTCTGTAGAGGGAAGGTATCTTCTTCAGGAAGTCTTGCCCCAGGAGTTACTGTTATCACCAGCTATGTCTTCCCTGGGCTTTACTTATGCTGCTTGGGAATAAGAGAGTCCAAAGCTACACTGTTGCTGTCTATTTTCCTGGAGTACAGAGGCTAGCAGTTCTTCCAGCTCAGCAGAATGCCCACAGCTAAAAGGAATTGGCCAGCCAAGTCACTTAAGTCCCTAACTCTCCCCACCTGGTCCAAGTACTAAGGAAAGAAGGAAGCTCAAAAAGAATCATTGCCTTTGCAACACTTTTAAAATTCTACCACCTAAGAGAGGCCCTAGAGGTTTCCAGGTTGCCACTGTGCAATCATGCAGCTCCCTGAAGTTCTTGGAGGTACATCTGACAGATTGTTGCCCAATGAATGGAATGAAACTCAGAAGAGATAGCCAGGCTGTTTGTGGTGGCACACGCCCTTGGTCCCATCAACTGGGGATGCAAAGGCAAGTAGATCTCTGAGTTTGAGACCAGCTTGGTCTACAGAGAGAGTTCCAGGACAGCCAGAGCTACACAGAGAGAACCTGTCTCAAAAAGAATAAGAAGAGATGGCCAAGGAAGGAGCCCTAGTGGAACTCATTGTCTTTCTCCTCTGAGAAAGGCACTGTCTGGGCTGGGTTGACACAACCCACCATTCTAGAAGACACTCTGAAGTCACCATAGTCCTTCCCCCTGGTGGGGTCAGAACCATGGAGAGAATCCCAGTTAGTAAAGCCCACTGAGTCCACAGATAAAACTACAGGAATACATAGCAGGTCATCTTTCCTTAAAGTGAACCATGGGCAGCACTTTCCAGAATGGGTAATGTGCAGAGCAGATTTGGATTTAGTTCAAGTCCTTAGGTCAGAAAGGACCAGGAAGGCTCAGCAAGAAGAGTGATCTAAAGCATGGCTCCCATGGTTGCTTGTGGGGCAGGAGCAGACATGATGTCTCTGTTGCCTACATGTGGACACGTGGAAGCCAAGACCCTGGTGCCCATTTTTCTAGAGTGGCCAATGGTCCTTTCAACTCAAAAATTACCCAGGGCAGTGGAATTGGCTAGCCAAGTCTTCTGTAAATTACCATCCTCTCCCCAAATTGGTCCAGTTTAGAGCAAGTGAAAAGAAGGCATAGGTCATCCAGGTCCTTCTCTGTCCTGGCCATCCAGACCTGCAGATGTGCCTGTCACCAGTTGAGGGTACGGGTCAAGTGACGCTGAGAGGACCTGGGAAAGAAACAGGCACCAGAAGTGCTGGGAAACCCTGAAGGGAGAAAGGACACACACCAAATGGTAAGGTCAAGGCCTGTGCCGTGTTCTCAGGAGGGTGTTTGGCTCCTATACATCTCTGATTTGACCCATTACTGCCAGAAATGCGGAAAAACCCCGAAGGTGACAGCCAGGACACATAGCACGGCAGTAAGGGAAAAGACAAATGGTTATGGGGCAGTGTGTTCACAAAGGCCTGGTAGCTCATCACAAGAGCGGACAGAGAGGGCGTGCACCACAGATGAAGGAACAGCCACCCTTTGACCTAGAAGGCCAGCTGCTCCCACGAAGCCTGAAGGGAAGAGGCTACATCCACAGGCCTTGAAGGACAGGAAAGGAGGCCTTGTGCCTGGGACTGCTAAGCAACAAAGCCTAAGGGCTCAGACCATAGGAGGGGCCGTCGCAGGTCTGGGAACTTCAGCAACTGCTCCTTCTGAGGCCTTGGCAAGACCCTCCTGGGGCTCTAGGGTCCCTGGAGGCCGCCCTCCCCCACCGCCTCACCCCCGCCCCCGTGTGGCGCATTCTTCTGGTTGGCTGTCCTTCCGACATCCCCTGCGCGTCCGTCTGTCGGTCTTTCTTCTCTTGCCCGCAGCAAAGCCGAAGCCCCATTCATTCCGGAGGCCTCTGCCCTCTCCTGAGCGGGTCTCCGCTCGGCGAGCAGCTGCTATGCTAATGAGGGCGGCGGCGGGTGGGGTGGGCAGGCACTCACAAAGGCAGTGTCTTTACATTCAAAGCCAGTGGGGCCGTTTCTGCTAGCCCGCCAGGATAGGCGGCCGGGCACAACCGGCCACCCAAGTTACCTATTGCCCGGCGCGGTTTGAGGGCAGAGACCAGATGTCGTCTGCTCGAGGTCACGGCCTGGGACCCGCAGCTTCTTGGGAGGACCTGCCTGCGCCCTCCAGATGCTTCTTTTAGTGGCCCTGGGACGATCAGTGCTCGTGTGTAGGGCTGGTAGATACCAATGCTGACATTGCCGCCCTCCCCAGGACAAGGAGGTTCGATAGGACCCAAGCAGAGTCTGAGAACCCTAGTCCTTACCAAACAGGAGCAGAGATCTCCGTTCACCTCACGTGAGCACACCAGATTCCCCTTCAACTCGGACGGATGGGGCGGGGTGGGGGAGGAGGCCCAAGCCTGCCTCTCTGGATCTTAGATGTGCCTTGCCCAGTTGGGACCTCCCCAGCATCTGATGACCTCTCGGCCCCTCCTGACGGATGATTTTGTACAGCAGTTCAGAAGAGTAAACCCGGTTAGGCGAAAGGGGTGGAAGCTGGGGAGGAGGCGGCTGCGGCTGGTCTGCAAGACTATGCTGCCACCCTGTGGTCATGACCCGTACTGTCCCCGCCAAGAGCACTAAGTGTATGGCCAAGGTGGTTGGCTGTGTTTGCTCACCTGGTGACTCCAACCTCCATCCATAGTAGGCAGGCAGAGAAGGTTGGGTGAAATGCTTCGGTCACAAAGGAGCAAGAGCTGTCATGCACAGGTCAGAAAGGCCTGAACATCTGGGGCCCTCAGGGGTAGGGGCTCGACAAAGTGAATTATGGGACAGAGGGCAAGTTCTCAGAATTAATGACACCAGAACCAGACAGGTCAACTCTGAATAGACAACCTGGCCTACACAGCGATGGGAGGTGGCTTTAGTGTATGACTGGCAGGTTGGATGGAAAGAAAGAAATAGGGACAGAACAGGGAGGAAATGCGCTGCAGGCCTTGGCAGTGTTGCTGAAATTGGAAGACTGATGGTATGTGGGATAAACAAGATCCAGAAGGTGGAGCACTTAGGGGGAGAGCAGCCAAGATGTACCAAGCAGGGACCCCTGGAGCACTCCTGCAGTCCCTAGGATACCCAAACAAGCCTGGAATGGTGACCCTCACCAAGCTGTTGGCCTGATAATGTGCTGTCTTGACCAAATGGAAAAAGAAGGATATTCCAAGGCTCAAAACTTCAAAGATGATTAGCAGAGCATCAGTAATTTTAGCCCTGCACTCACGGGCCACACTTCTAGTGGCTGCAGGATACAGGACAAATACAGGGTCATTAGGACAGAGTAGAGGATGCCTCTGGGTCTAGAGTATGGAGTCTCTGCAGGAGCAATGTGGGCAAGACCCTTCTAGGCCCAGTGGTGGCTGGCACTAGGATGCTGCCTCTCCTGCTACCATTACAAACTATAAGCTGTAAGCATCTGAAACTATACACCAATTAAATGCTCTCCCCTCTTCTCTCTCCTCTCTTTCTCTCCCCCCCCCCCCCCCACTGTGTGTGTGTGTGTGTGTGTGTGTGTGTGTGTGTGTGTGTGGCCCTGGCTTTCCTGAAATTCACTCTGTAGACCACACACTAGCCTTGAACTTGAAGAGATCCTCCTGCCTATTCCTCTGCCTCCCGAGTGCTGGGATCAAAGGTGTGCACTACCACCAAGCTTATATTATTTCTTAAAGTCCCTAGAACATGTTCCTGTCTAGGTTATTGATAGGCCTGTTACAAGAGAAGAAAATGGTATTTCTTTTGCTTATTTTGTTTATTTTTTGAGACAGTCTTACTATATATATCACTGTCCTAGAACTTATTGTGTCCTAGAACTTACTATGTAGACCTGTAAGCTGCCTGAAACTCACAGAATTAAAGGTGTGCACCATCACACCCAGCTTGAAACAGCATTTTTTTTTAAAGTTAAAGAAAGAAAATAAATGATTTTACTGGACTAGAGAGAGGACTCTGTGACTAAGAGCCAGTTCTGCTCTTGAAAGGACCCTGGTTCAATTCCCAGCACCCATGTCTGGCCCTACAAGCATCACAGCTGCTTGTAACTCCAGCTCCAAGAGATCCAACATTCCTCTGCTGGCCTCTGGGGACACCAACACTCACAAAAGCATAATTTAAGATAAATTTTAAGCCAGGCATTGTGGCACATGCCTATAATCACAGCAATCTGGGAGGCAGAGACAGGCGGATCTCTGTGAGTTCTAGGTCAGCCTGGTCTACAAAGCAAATCCAGGACAGCAAAAGCTACACAGAGAAACTCTGTCTCAAAAATAATAATAATAATAATAATAATAATAATAATAATAATAATAATAATAATTTTTAAATAGAAGTTGGAGTGGAATGTGGTGGTGCACACCTTTAATCTCAGCACTTGGGAGGCAGAGGCAAGTGGATCTATGTGAGTTTAAGGCCAGCCTGGTCTACAAAGCAAGTCCAGGACAGCCTGGACTCTATTACATAGAGAAAAGCTACCCCCCCCAAAAAAAATTGGGGTTGGAGAGATGGTTCAGTGGTTAAGAACACTGGCTTCTCTTGTAGGGGACCTACATGGAGTCTATAAGACCAATCCCTGAGAATCTGACTTTTTCTTCTGGCATCCTCATGCACCAGGCATGTATGTAGCACACAGGCATATGTGTGTAAAACACCCATATACATAAAATAAATAAAACTTTCAAATAATAAACCTTTTAAATGATTTTACAAAAACACCAATGTTTAGCAAAAAACAAGTAGCTTTCAAGCCTTGCTGCCTCCACTTTCACCCCTTTTGTCTAACATATAGCTGTCCAGTTGTCGTGAGCATACTATGCCAGAAACACAAGTGACCATGTCTGTGCCCTTCTACAATGTTAGTGTTTATTGGATAAAAATAAACTCATAAGTTAGGTCAGTTGCTGTGGCTGCAGTCGTTTAAGTAGTCCTGGTTTCCTCTGATAGCTGGCTATGACAGGTTTTCTGTTCCAATCTTAATTACCATATTAATCTTGGACATTATACATCACATGGCAATTATATCTGTGTTATAGAAAGGCTATAACAGGGGTAAAAGAAGCTGCAAAGAGAATCTCCAAGTTGGAGGAAAAGTAGTGAGTAAGGCTGTTAGAAAGCTGCATTTTTCTAAAACTTTAAAACACATCTATTGTTAGAAGGACCCTGATGTTTGAGGTTGCAGTCCTCACAGTCCAGATAGCCGTTCTGTGCTTGGCATTAAGGTGCAGGACTCCCCATCCCCAGCAGGGCCTCCTTCATCTGGAGAGTGTCTTTAGACACTAATCTAGCCATATTTGATATATGGCTTTTGACATAGCTCCCTGCTAGCTCTTCTCTCCCTGTGCCTATGGGATAATTAGGTACTGTGTTCTGGTTCATATGATCATGCTGTTTAATGCAAATAAAGCATCCTTGAAGTGCTTAGTTTCAACCAATATGTATACCTATCCTTGGAGCTCCCAACCCATTCCCCAAGAGGTATATAACTTTAGTTCTCTGGAACTAAAGTTGAACTAGCTCCCTGAAGTGGCTCTCAGAGTGTTTGATCTGTCATGCTTATAGGCCTTCTAGTCCTTGCTCTGTGTCTTTCTTCTGCCCCTCCTGCCTTCGTGGGCTGGCAACCAACAGCCCCCCAGAGAGGAGGAAACCCACAATCTATGTGTTTGAGAATTTCTGACTTATAGGCTCCTGTCAGTATGTGCCTGGTGGGAACTGCTGGCCAGGTGGTAGTATCTACAAGCATAGGGAAGTTCAGTCATCCGACCTCTGAATTTCTCAAAATGGAGCCAAATTCTGCTTTGTAAAATGAAATAACCCAAGGCAAGGCACAGTCTAGAAGCCACTCTTTTATAATGACAGAATGACTTAGAGCTAAACACTGCCTGACCTCAAAAACTTTCCTGAGTTATTTCAGATTCTCAGAGGCTGGTTGTGATATGTCCCCTTTCCTTTAACTGTCACTGTTTACACTTCTAAAATTAATGTGTTACCAAGGACAAAGGAGATGATACCTAAAGCTGATAAGACAGGTTTCTGCCATCCAGATTTGCAGATCAAGGGTTTGTTTTGAAGACAGAATTCTCCCCAGTGCTGGAATCTCCCACCTGTCACACACAAGACCCTGAGACCTTTCCATTTTAGAAAATAGATTTTTTTTTTTTTACTCCACTTTTCCAAACCTAGACTGGAATAAAACTATTTCCTCCTCCAACTTCTGTCTCCAGGTTTGTTTTGGTAGAGGCTATGTATGATGGTTTGAATGGGGCCAGCCCCCATTGACTCATACATTTGGATACTTGGTTCCCAGTTGGTCTAACTATTCGGGAAGGATTAGATGGTGTGGCCTGCTGAAGGTGTGTCACCAGGCCTTCACTTAGAACTAATGTTCTCTGCTTCCTGCTTATGGATCACAGGAGGGTCGAGACCAGGTTACAAAGAGTTCAGAGCAAGCCTAGGCTGTATAGCAAGATCCTAAAACAAAACAAAACAAAACAAAACAAAACAAAAAGATAAAACACATAAAAGAATGTTGAGTTCTGGGTCAACTAGGATCTCATAGCAAGTCTGTGTCACAACAATAAAAACATAATCATTATTTACAGACTTCCTGCACAGCTCTGCTGGCTGAGAACAGTTCTGCTATGCAGCTCAGCATTCTATTACACTTCCCTCTTCAGAATTACTCAAATATTGAAACATAAAAAAATTAATTTGGCCAGCATGGTCGTACCCAAGTGTAATCCCAGCACTTAGGAGGCTCACAAGTTCAAGGTGAGCCTGGGCTACAAATATGAAACCTTGTGTGAAAACAAGAATTGCTATCATTTTGTAAGGGGTGGTTGGGGGATTTTGAGAAAGGGTTTCTCTGTTGTGCTAGCTGTCCTGGAACTTGCTCTGTAGTTCAGGCTGGCCTCAAACTCAGAGATCTGCCTGCCTCTGCCTCCTGAGTGCTGGGACTCTGAGTGCACAAGCCATCACACCCAACACCCAAACCAGGAATTATTAAATAGATGCTTAGAGAGAGGAGTTGGCAGGTGCCAGTATGCCTTTCTCAATTCATAGGTGAAGCAAACAGAAAACAAAAAGAAGACAGTCGATGGTTAGATCTGAACTGCAGTTTATTCACAAGCATGATTCAACCTGCTCAGCATTGTATGCCTGCCTCTTAAGACCAGAAATTGGCCTCCATGAAATTATTTTAGAGATGTACTGTTTTATAAATAAATAAAAAGGAAGCTTTGCATAGGTTTGGATATTCACTAAACCAATGTTCTGTATGTGTTAAGTGAATGAATACAAGAGACACATGGCTGACTAGGAGATACTTCTAGGTAGGTTTTCAGGTGACAATCGTGGGGGCCTTCTTGAGGAGTGCTGAGGACCCCAGCATCATCCTGTAAGGACTGACCAGCATCCCCACTCTGCAGGTCATGCATACTCAGCCTTTGAAGCATCAACTTACAAGTCCTAAAAGCAGATCAAAAACCTCTCCCTTCCCTGTGGCTCAGCAGGTGAACCTTAGTGGATGGAACCTAGCTCTTGGATTCCAGGTCTGGCTATCCTACCCTCAATATCCCTTTGTAACCCTCTCCAAACCTTCCGACTTCTGGGAGACCCCAGAGCAGGAAGGAATCCTAGGGCTGATCACTTCCCTGGCATAAGATCTCTGTGCAGGGCTCTGCAGGTGAGGGTATCTATCTACAAAATTCTTTTCTCAATCCTGCACCACACAGATCCTCAGACCATGGCTGGAGCAAGTTGGATGGGAGACAATGAAATGTGCAGGGCCTCCTTAAGGAGCCAGCTGGCTAGTGATCTTCTCTGGAGAAATCTGAACCTGGGTGGTTTTGCTGCAGGTCTCCCCAGTGTGGGGAAGGACACATCAGGCCCAGTGAGGGGTTCCTCCTCTCTAACCTCTTCTGGTGTCACCCCTTGCAGTGCCCCTAAGCCCTGTTTTTGGGTGCACCACTTTCTAACCCACAATGATGATCATTCACAAGCAAGGGCTGAGCGTAGCCACCAGGAGGCAGCACAGAAGTTGACAGAGCACTAAGAAGCCTCACGCCAAGAAAACTCCATGCAGATGGAGTTGAGAGTGAACCTGAGACACCAAAAGCTACAGGGAGTCTCATCCACACCTAACTGTGGTAGCCAGTAGGTTATAATGCCAAAGAAAAAAGATCTCCACATTCAGCCCAGAACAGGCAGGCAGAGGCTTTGTCTCCTTTGGTCATTCTTTGGGTACAACCAAGAGCCTGACCTCCTACCCTACCCCACCTCACTGGGCCTCAAGCACACTTGGTGCTTCCTGCAAACAGAGAACATCAAGGCTCTTTTCACTTCTACCGAGGCCATTGTTTGCTGTTACTCCAGAGCTGGTGGCAGGAAGGGGCCAGTAGAAGGAGAGTGTCCCTCAGCACTAGGACAGACTAAAGTCTAGTGGTCCTTTCTAGGAAAACCTGAGCTTGGGTGGTTTCCCAGGAGATCTTTCCAGGGTGGCGGAGACACATTTCCCCTCTGGAGGGGTCCTCCTCTATAGCTTCTGGTGAGCAGGAAGGACCCTGAAGCTTGTAGCTGGTTCCAAAGTATTATACATGTCTGTCTCTGGAGCTAACAAGCAGCTAGTCTCCAGAGGCTGGATCTCTGCATAGTCCATGCTCCAGGGCATCTGAGGGATTACACTGGATCCACACACTGGTTTGCACACACCTATCTCTCCCAGTGCCTTCTCAGGCCGGCCTGGAGAAGCATTCCCCCACCTTCTGATCTCTAACCTAAGGAGGCATTCAAGGGATGACTAGGTGTTTGTAAGAGGCATGGAGGCTGCCACATGTTCCAAAGGTTCCTACCATGCTACTCACCCTCTGAGATAATCTGTACCGTAAGTGCACACTGTCCCCTCCTAGGGTCATGGGAGGCCCTAAGACAAGATACTGGGAGCTGAGGAGGGAGACCAGGCTACATAAAGGAAGGTAGCTGCTTTCCTGACAACACTAGGGAATCTCAAGGCTCAGTGGTGGAAGAGGAAGTGGGGAGCTCACATCTGAGCCACTGCATTACCCCCCACCCCCAGCTCCTGGAGTGAAGCAGCTTGGGGGCTACAAATCACCTGACATCTGTGCTGTTTTTTTCAACAGTTCAAATGCCTGGGGCCACTGGCTAGTGTCCAGCATGTGCAGGCTTGTGCTGTAAGAGGTTAACCTTGGCTACGACCTGCTTGCAGCCAGTGATGGCAAACTCATGTCCAGCAACCTGGTAGTAGCTGAGCTGCTCTGCCAGATGTTCTGCCAGTGCCTGCTCAGGATAAAAGCCCTCCCCTGCCATCTCTTCTCGGAAGCAGTTGACCACATCTGGCTTGTCCAATAGCAGGAAGGGCACAATGGCTGCAGTGTGCCACAAAGGGTGTTCTCGGGCCAGGAGCTCCTGAAGGCTGCTCTGTAACTCTTCCTCCACCTGTGACTCCACAGCCTGAGTGCTGCCTGCACTGTGAAGGTGTGGGGGCAACATACGTGATGCGTTCTGCAGCACAAAGTGTGTTATCTCTATACCGCCAGTGCCACTTAAGAGTACATAGATAGCGTTGTGGAAATGGTACGAGCGCTGTGGCTGCAGGAGGTCATGCAGCTCATCCAGCAGCGCAGGTGGTAAGAGTTCAGCCTCATCTAGGACCAAGAGAGGGATCTTCTCCTCGGCCTCTGCCTGTGCCACTACATCCGCCACACGCTGTGCAAGCTCCTTTCGGCACTCCTGAACTGGGCGTGGCTCTGGACAGTGATGTCTTGCGTGGTACTGCAGAACCAACGCACCATCCTCCAGCACTGCGCGGAAGTGGTGTGCCAGGAGGCGCCCAACATGACTCTTGCCTACCCCACTGGGCCCATGCAGCGCCAGGAGTAAGGGATGACTGTGCACATGTGTAGCCAGGTAGTCCCGCAGCAGGGCCATGATGCGGCTCACAGCAGCTGGCTGACCAAACACGGAACGCTGCAGCGCCTTCTCCAGCCCATCGAGGTCATAACGTTGTGCATTATCGTCCAGATTCTCAATGGCATTGAGAACCTGGAACCCCACGATGGCTACAAGCAGCAGCAGACAACGCTGTGCACGGCTCTGGCTCTCTGTGCGGGGTCGGTACTTCCGTGAGGTTTCAGGGTAGAGCACTACCCGACTACGTCTGCGCCTCTTGCGGGGCATCCTGGAAGACAGCTCCGTCAGGCTGTCGAAGGTGAAGAATTTAGGTTGGTCTAGGTTTGCACGCAGAGTCCCCACGCTGCCGCTGGGCCTTAGAGCCCCCGTTTCGGTGTCAGGTTCGGTGCCTGGCTGCAAGAGGCGCCTCTTGCGCAGGACACAGACTCGGCGGCGCAGCTGCAGCACAGCACGTACCGGCGCAATCACACATGGTCCCTTGGCCTGGGGCTCTAGGCTAGGTTGGCCGCGGTTCATGGCGCAGGAGCTGTGCTGGGCATGCAGGTCCTCTCCCTGCAACAGGGGGATGGGAAACCTCCTGAGTCCCTGATCTTATCTTCTGGGGGTCACTTAAGGTGCTTTAAGGCCAAATACTGGCCCTGCTTCGACTTGCCCCACAGACCAGGAAGTCCCGCTCAGCAGGAGGGCCTCAATGCATGCAAATCTTGAGTCCTCCCAGAAAAGGCCCAGGCCTTGAGGAAGTGCGGGGGTGGGGTGGGAGGTGTATAATTTATCAGGCTGCTGACTTCCCTCTTGGAGGAATAAGCAGAGGATTTGGGGTCATACCGCCACGGATTAGGGGTGTAGAATGGTTAAACTGGACCCTGGACGCAAGCGCAAGCGCAAGCGCAAGCGCAAGCGCACGCGCACGTACACACACACACACACACACACACACACACACCAGCATCTATCAGACTGTCAAAAGTCTTACAGGTCCTAAGTAGGCCCCTTGTACCAGAGGACTCAGTACTCCTAAGAGTTGTGATTCTCCCCATACTCAGAGACAGTTGGTGGAAAGGAATGTGCAGACCAAACTTTATGTTTTTGAGTACCGACCCTAGCCACAACCTAGGCCTTTCAACCCACTCCCACCCCTGGGCCCCACCCATACCTTCCCAATGAATACAACAAAGCAGAAAAATAAAAAAGAGCAGGGGAAATTTTAGAGCCCTGACTATGAAGAGGCTGGCCTGAACCTCTCCAGTTCACCCAGTTCACCCCTTACCTGCAGCAGCTCAGACTCCCCAGCTCAGCCACTCCCTTCCAAGGCCAGGAGCCAGCAACTCAGGAAGCAGGAAATGCTAATCTTCCACCCAAAGGTTGAGGTGGGTGGGTCTGGCTGACCCAACTCTGGCTTGAAGTGGGTAGCGACTCCTGCAGGTCCCCAGGGACAGGAGCAGAGGAAGCTCTGGGGAGGTTTCCGCTTAGAAGCAAAGGAAGTGAGTCAGGGGTGCTGGCAGGCGGAGCTTGGGCTGAAGGGATCCGCCAGTGGGGGAGGCCTGGCTGACTGGCCCAGAACCCCTATCCAGCAGTTCACCTACTCTTGGTCATTGTGCCTCTGCCAGGGCATGTAGAGAGGGAGAAGCCCCTCCAGCACCTTTTCCTATAGGTCTCCTGGACTCCTGAAAGCTTAGTCTGCCCTCTACTGACCCTGCCTCTGCCGGGAGAGTCCTTTCTCTGAGCCAGCAAACCTGACTTGACAAAGGGACCCTAAACACCTTATTGAGGCACTCAGCTGATTGTAAACAAGTAGAAGGCAGGTCATTTGCTCATCTGGGTGCCACCTAACCCCTTTATTTTCCTCTCTGCTGCCCTTACTTCCCCTACTCTACCATTCCCCCCACCCCACCCCTTTGCCAATTCAATTAGACCTATAGGACAGGGCACAAGAGACAGAAAGTCTAGAGCTTGAGACAGAACCCCTTATGGCCAGGGTCCTTGTGAAGTGGGAGGAACACATTTAGAAATGGTCTTGGGCCAAGAAGTGGAAGACAGAGCAGCTTTAGACTTTCCATGGCAACCTGTTTGCCTGTAGCCCTGCCCACCTCCATTTTTGCAGGGATTGCTTGGATGGCTCCAGACTCCTCCCATTCTGAAGGAGAGCTGATTACTTCCTTGGCCAGCCTGGAATTCCTGAACTTTCTAGAACTTTCACAAAGTTCAAAGAGTGGCTAGGGTGGACAAGTGTGTTTCTAGATCCATCTAGAGGACTCAGCCTCACCCATGGCCCATCACCCATCTGCACTTCACGGATCGTGTAAAATGTCAGGGCAGGCTGACTGCGGAGGCCCTGGAGTGGAGGGTCTCTTAGAAACGCTGGCATTCTCATCTCTAAGAATTTTCTGACTCAGGAAAGGCATTGGGTCCTGAGGTAGCCGACCAGGCCCTTCAAGAAAAAGACAGAATAATCTCTAAGTGGGCCCAATGTTGGCCAGTCACTTTTCCAAGAGGCTGATCTGTCAAATTCTCTGGGGTCCAGTGTCCCATTCCAGGACAAGAACAACACCTGCTAAGGAGATGTGACACATTCAAGGAGCTCAGTCCCAGAGTTAATCTTTGCAAGAATAAAGCCGTCATAGACAGAAGGTCTATAAGCCCCACTGTCCACTCCTTGGTTCGACCCTATTGTAAAATTCAACTACAACGGCCCTGACCATGCCCACCACACCCTTCTCCCAAAGCTCCTTGAAGGCACACTTGGCCCACACTAGCAGAATCCAGCCACGAAGACCATTTTGTCTATCTCAACCCTGAGCCTCTAGTAGCTCTTCACTCTACCCAAGGACCTTGCCCAGCGGACAGTCCACTCATAGCTTCTCTGTCCACAGCCCAGTCCTTTCCTGTCTGCCCCATATAGCCCCTCACCATCCTGAGAACATGAAGCAGCCCCAAGAGCCCTAGTACCTGGACATTACAGCCTGCCCTTTCTGAAATGTCTGTGCCATGTAAGTAACAACTCTCTGGATCTGACACCCCACAAAGCCAGGGTATCATAAGTGTCTTACTAATGGATCATTGCCTTCACCCCAGAGCCATGTTTTTTACGCTTTTAAAAAAATCAAGCAGGCCAGGCCTGGTGGAGTACACCTTTTATTTAGCACTTGGAAGGCAGAGGTAGGTGGATCTTTGAGTTCCAGGACAACCAGAGCTACAGAGTAAAACCCTATCTCAAAAAATCAAAAAACAGGAGAATCTAGGAGCACTTTCCTCAGCTGAAGACCTGCATTCATGACCCGTGACTTCTATTCAGCTGGAAATGTAGCAGTGTTCCTGTCCCACAGTGTCCCACAGTGATCTGGCTATGGTGTCCCCCAGCTACCCAATCCGAGGGTGATGGAAGGCTGAAAATTCAATCCACTGTGGTGTGCCTTCAAGATTGGTGATTAGGATCAAATGACATTGTGGGAGAAGCACCCTCAGTCAGTCCCATGGCTTTAAAGAGAGAAAAGCAGACCCCCCCCCTCTCTCTTGCTCTCTTCCTCCCTCCCTTCCCCCTCCCTCTCACAATGAGGTACCTTATGCCTCAGGCCTCTGTCAGAAAGATGGCTATCATCAAATGCACCCTGGACTATGGACCAGGTCCTGAGCCAAAATAAACACATTTTCTTTATGACTCATCTAGCTTACAGTGTTACTTACAATTGAAAATTAAAGTAATACAGCCCCTTTCCCTTCCCTCAGCTTCAGGGATATACTCAACAGCTTGCCCCTGCCCCACCTGGTGACAAACAGCCAGACTAAGCCAGGCCATATATCATTCATTCACAACTGGAAAAAGCTAGGCATAGACTGAGGGCCCTGCCAACTACCCACACCTGCCTGATCCCATCACAGCTAAGAGGGCTTCCACTATGCTTCAGATATGCCTGTTCAGCCATCGTCTGGTATTTCCTGTCTTGAAGAGTACAGTAATGTCCACCTGGACTTTCCCTAGACACCCAGGGGATAACTAAGCTGCCAGAGGATAACTAAGCTGGATGTAAAGTCTGGTCTTCAGAATCACTCTATGGCCTAGGGCTTGTCCTTCTAGAAATTCCTTCACTCTGAAAGGAGTGAGAAACTGCACACCTAGCTGTTGGGACAGAGGTCAGGGCACCCTGAGAGGCCCTACACCAGGCCACTCAAAGCAGGGCTGCCAGGCACGAAACATTATACCCACCAGGCATGGTGGCACACACTTAGTCCCAGCATGTGGGAAGCAAAGGGAGGATCTCTTGAAAGTTCAAGGCCAGCCTAGTGTACACTATGAGCTCCAGGCCAGCCAGAGCTATCCAGTGAGACACTAGATTTAAAAAAAAAAAAAAAAAAAAAAAAAGAATGTTGCATCCACCCCTGAGCCCAGCAGAGAACAAACACAGACTCTTCACCATGGATTTATCAAAATGTGTTTTATTTACATAAGTGAAAACTTCAGCGTGTACACTCATAGTCCCCTACTCTAAGGCCAAAACATGTAGCTACACAAGGGTTTGCTTTTTGTTGCAAAGGTAAACTGAAGTGGGGAGCGGCAGGGGAGGGCTCTGCCTACAGATCTCAGTCAGCAAGGACTGTGCATTGACACCAGCAGATTCAAGGCTTTGCCTCCTGTAGACTCTCCACCTGGCTTCTGTGGAGGGTACTCTCCTGTGCTTGGATAGCAGGACTAACGAATTGCTTTGGTGAACCCAGCATACCTTTCTCCTTGGGCTTTATCCAGATTGAATGTGGGGTCAGTCAGGCCTCTGCCCACAGCCCTTGGAAAATTAGCTGGCTTTTTCTTAATCCCTACCACCATCATCTCTGCCAGGGTCAAGCAGGGGCCAAGTCCCACCCTGGCCTCCTAGATGTGCAAATAGACCACCGAGGACCTTTTGGGACTAGCTCCAGGCAGCAACTCAGAGGAGGGAGTACCTTGTCAAGGAATAGCCCTCAGCTCACCCTGCACTCCTAGATGACTAGGGCCTCCTTCCGCAGGGCACTACCAGAAACAGCTCACAGAGCCTCACAGAGCAGGCACATTGGGAAGAGGCAGCTCCAGGGCCGGCGTCTCTGCAGCTTGGGTAGGACTAGGCTTCCGATGATCTAGCTGCTCCAACTTTTCACCAAGCTGGGAGTAGAGCTCCTTCACAGCTTCCCCACTCTGTGGAAAAACAGACATGGGCATGCCAGAGGGGAGGTGCTATGAACCTGCATGGAGGAGTGAATCCATAGGCAAGATCAACCATGAAGAACACCACCAAAGGAGGCACCAAGGTCATACATGGCACAGCTGTAGCAGCTAGGCATTCACAGAACAATGCTCTATAAGTGGGAACAAAGGACACCCACCTGACCTGTGGGCTCCAGAGCCTTCTGCAATGCCTCCAGCTTGGAAGGGGCCACTCTTGGGTGCAAGTGGAGAAGAAGCCTCAGGACATGACGATGCACATTTTCCTTCCTGGAAGAGATCAGTGGGGCAGGAGGTGCCTACTTCCCTCCTAGGCACAGCCCACTCTGGGGTGACTGTGTCTCTTTAGCTTTTCCCACTCCACATAGAGGTAGAAGAGAACTGATCCCTGAGTCACTCCTAAGCTACACTCTGGAATTCTTCAGTCTAGCACTATCCCAGTACTCAAAGACTCACCTGCGGTCCTTTAGCATGATGGAGCTTCAATTCAATCTGACAGCCCTCCTAAGCTATCAAGGACAAGAACTGACAGGAAATGAAGGTCCAGTGGGGTTTGTGTCCTACCTTGGAGAGGCAGTGAGGAAAAAGCCATCAAAGAGGCTACTGCAGAAATCCTCCAGGGCAAATTCATCAGCCAGCAGTGCCAGGCTCCCAGTGAGCAGGTGGAGAAAGATGTCACTGAAGGCCAGGTCACCGAAGGTTTCCACTGTAAACACAACAGTGGTTCAGCCTCTGCCCTCAGGGACTCTCATTGTTCCAAGATCTGAACAGGACCCAGATGAGCAGTGAGAGCTGACCAGGTCAAGTAGATGGGTAGTCTGTGGCTCTCAGCTAAAGCACAGGGAAGGAAGGACGCTCTGTCCCACACTGGGGCTCTGGTCTAAACTGGCCTCCACAGAAAGTCCACACACAAACAACCAGAGACAGGCAGCCCAGAGGAGATTCTGCCAAACCCTGCAGATGACTCCTCAGGTAAAAACACAAAAACCATTGCCAAACTCCATGTTTAAACGCACCAAAGTAGGACAGATGGCTGAGCAATTGCAGATTGCTCACAAGAGCACCTGAAGTACAGTCATGCAACAAGAGATGACAAGATCCCACAGCCAAGCCCTGCCTCAGGAAAGATGAACAGTGTAGACAGCCTTAGTATCCATCACCACCACTCCTCACAACTAGGAGCAGACAGTGTTTGGATGGCAGACCTAGTAGATGCCACTTGAACTCACTGAAACGCTGGAATACTTCAGGGAGA